CGGGTTCAGGGGCGCAGGGCCCAAATCGGCCTAAGGCCGCCCCTGCCGGCAGCCATGCTGAGGCCCGGTATTTTTTTCCCCCAGGCCCTGTTACCGGGCTGCGGCCCATCGTTTGGGAAATGCTGCCCTAGTCTACTCCAGTTCCCACTCCACCTCCCTTTCTTCAGTGGGTCCCTTATCCTGCCTCCCTAATGCTGGAGCCAGCTCCATCCCTAGGGCAGCTTGTGTTGGCTATGCAGCTACTCCCAGGGTGGGTAGGACCCGAACCCACCACAAGGCGTTCTTCCTTGTGAAATGAGGTTTACCGCCATCGAAAGAAAAGCCGCGTTCTTTCGAAATAATTTCGAAAGAACGCGGCTTGAGTCTGGACGCAGGGGAAGTTTTTTCGGGAAAAGGCTACTTTTCCCGAAAAAACCCCTGAGTCTGGACACGGCCTTTGAGAGCAGTTCAAAGCATAGATGCACTGATGCAACTGCACTATTGAATCGTGTAAGAAAATATGTTTCTATCCTGAGAGTTTACCTACATGGGAATTAGGTTGGTATAACTACATTACTCAGGGGTATGAATTTTTCACTGATATAAGTCAGTAGTGTAGAGTAGACCTGGCCTCAGCCAGCAAGGTGTCCCAGTTCCTAGCCATATAATCTTGTAGTCCTAACATTCCAAGCAGCCTTCTTTAGGGAATTATTTTTAATTCCTGATTTTTAACCTTTATTATTCTAAATGCTGAACAGTTTGAGGAAAGAGCAACTGAATCACCCTCTTCATGGTTCCATTGCAATAAATGAGGAAGACTCCCTGAAGCAAGGGACACTCAAATGTCTGCTATTAATGGCCTGTCCAATTTTAAAACATCTGTTTTTCCCAGTTACGTATTCCTTTCCAGCCATTGTTACACTGAACTGAATTGATCTGCAGTGGCAGTTCATCTGTTTGGGTTACTGTTTAGATATTTACTTCATTGGCTTACCATATTTTCTCTTTTGTCATAATAATTGTATTTGTCTCCATAAAGGCCCTTTTATCCTAAAGGCTTTCAAAGTTCCCTAAAAATTTCAATTTACACCCCTCTACACCTTGTAGCATTGGAACAGGGGATGATTCATTGGTTTGACTACTAGCCTGGGACTAGGGAGACCTGGGTTCAAGTTTTTGCTGACCATCAACTTCCTTGGTTAACTTACATAGTTTCTCTGTACCTCGGTTTCTTTTTATATATAAAATGCTTCTTTCCTCATTTATATAGCAACTTTGCACTAGTAAAGCTACAATGGCTAAATCAGGGCTAATTCCAAGTTGAGGCTAAGCCAAAGGCCAACATTTTCAAAGACCAGCTAAACTCCTGAAAAGGGAGGCATCCAAAATCATAGAGCACTTTTGAAAAATTTGTCCTAAATATCAAAGTTTAGGTTTGGCCCAGAAGCAGTTTGGGAAATATAGATATTTATCATGGTTGTAAATGACAAGTCAAATACATACCCTTTGCTACTTTGTCCCATTCTGCAGGTAGGACATTTAGGGTATGCCTAAACTACATGGCTCTGTCGACGGAGCCATGTAGATTTGTTTGTTGGGCAAAGGGAAATGAAGCTGCGATTTAAATATTCGCGGCTTCATTTAAATTTAAATGGCTGCCCCGCTCTGCCGATCAGCTGTTTGTCGGCAGATCGGGGCAGTCTGGACACGCCGCGTCGACAAAGAAGCCTTTCTTCATCGGCACAGGTATGCCTTGTGAAACCAAGTTTACCTGTGCCGATCAAGAAAGGCTTCTTTGTCGACGCGGCGCGTCCAGACTGCCCCGATCTGCCGACAAACAGCTGATTGGCAGAGCGGGGCAGCCATTTACATTTAAATGAAGCCGCGATTATTTTAATCGCGGCTTCATTTCCCTCTGCCGATCTGTGTAATCTACATGCCTCCGTCGACGGAGGCATGTAGTCTAGACACACCCTAAGAAACCACTTCACATTACACATGGAGGGATAGTACTGAGGGCTCCTCAAATCCCATGGCCTCACCCAATCTCACAGGAATGGTCCCAGTGTAGTGGAGCCAGGGTTTCATACTCAGTCTCCTATGGCACAGTCAATATTCAGTCTCATCTTCTCTGTCTGGGATTCAGTGTCACTGCACTGAAGTGTTTCAGCCTCTCTACATAGTTCCTAACTCAGTCTCAGTCTCAGACTCACTGACCAAGAGGATTAAGTGCCCCCTTTCCTCCTGAGTGAACCCACAGATCTATCACCAGGTGCTCTCTCTCAGGATGTAACCTGCATCCTGTCACTTCTAATTGTTCTGCAAGGTCCCCAGCTTTCAGGATGAGACCCATGAAGCAGGTATTTCCTGTTTCCTTTCCCCTACTGGAGCCCTGCTTCCATTCTTGGCTCTTTCTCTGATACTTTACCAGTTGTTGCAGCCTGTCCAGGGATTGACTCTGTTTGGGTTCCTGTCAGCCACCATTCCCTGGTACTTTTCTCTACATGGGAACAGGCCACTTCTTGCTCTAGGATTAAGCATTACCGTTTCTTTTTCTCAGCCTCCCCCGAACCAGGCTAACCCTTCCTCCAAACCGCCTAACCGCTTAATCTTTTCTCCTCCAATTGTTTCTGGCACCTTTTAAACTACTCTTTCATGCACTGGGGGTGGTCCTGTGCTCCCTTTTCAATCCCCCTTTGCCATCCTTACTCCAGCACGCAGCCCCTTATTTCTTTTTCCAATCAACCTCTGGCCTTCTCTGTCCTATGCCTTCCCCATCAGGAATAGTGATATTCGGCCACTCATGTCAATTTCTCCCAGCTCTGTGCCCTCACCACCCTTTCAAGCATTTGGAAGAAGGTCCTCAGGTCATCTTTTGGTCCCAGTTTCAGCACTTCTGGGGCCAGCCACCTCACATTGCCATTTGCCAACCATGTTGCCGGCATCTCTTGGCCCAACTGTTTATGTAATTGCTCTCAAACACGGGGCTTCTTGCCACCTCAGGGGTGCAGCAAATTGTGACTCCTGATGTTTCTGTTGGTTTGCCATCACTTGCGTGAGCAGATGCTTGGATTGCCACAGTATTGCAGCCGTCTTACTGCTACAACCCTGTTATTAACTGGTAAACCTTCCCCTTTGCCCCCAAATTGTGAGATGTCACTCAATATTGCAGGTGTGGTTCTCTCTTCACTGTGCACCTAAGGTCCACTTCACGCTTCCTTTGTGTCAAGGCCCAATGTAAGTACTCGCATTCTCCACCAAATGTCATAACCTGGGGCTTCTCCCCAACTTCCAAATACATGTTGCCCCCCCATCTCCTTTAAGAATGTTTATTATCCCAAAACAAGCAAATAAAACAAACAGAAACAGTCCTTTAGCTCACGCTAGGGTTCCACAGACTCCCTCCCTAGTGATTCTGGTGATCCAGCTGGTCTGGGCTGCACAAGGCATTTCAAAGTGGCAGTGCTTTAAAGGAGTCCTCCGCTGGCCCCATGCTCCCTGCAGCACTTTTGCCTTTCAAGTGTAGCAGCTGCCCTGGAGCTGTTGCTACATTTCAACGGTGAAGGCGCCCTTAGCCAATTTGATTAGCCAATTAATTGAAATTTTACATCGCTAGTTCAGGTTGACTGAGCACCTGATTAGCAGCCCAGCGTTCTAAAATCTATCTCTAGCTCTGCCAATGGCCTTGTGGCTACATGATCTAGGGCAAGCCAATTGCTCTGCTCCAGTTTACCCACGTGTAAAATGGGGATAATATCTGCCTTACAGGGGTATTGTGAGGTCTAATGTATCTAGGTTTGTGATTTGAGGTGTAAAATGGGGATAATATCTGCCTTACAGGGGTATTGTGAGGTCTAATGTATCTATGTGATTTGAACTTGTGAAAAGCAATAGTAGTGATAGGTATTACTGTTAGTACGACACTCCATTCAGTTATCTGAATGCAGAGGACCCCTCACAAAGACCTAGAGATATTTAAACCCTCTCATAAGCTTTTGAATTCAGCACTGAGCATGGCTTCAATTCTTTAAGAGCCTTGCACTAACACAAAGACCTAGAGATATTTAAACCCTCACATAAGCTTTTGAATTCAGCACTGAGCGTGTGTTCAATTCTTTAGGAGCCTTGCACTAATTTTGCTCAACAGGGTTAATTTCAACTTCCACCCAGTGCCTTAGCATGTAAAACTGACATTTGTGAGTCTATTCACCAACGTAAGTGTCCAAATTCAGAATTTGTTGCCCTGAGTAGGGACCTAACTGGAAAATAAGCTTCAGAGGGGTAGCCGAGTTAGTCTGTAACAGGAAAAACTTAAAAAACAGTGAATAGTCTAGTAGCACCTTAAAGACTAACAACGCATGTAGATGGTATCATGTTCTTTTGTGGGCAAAACCCACTTCTTCAGATGACTGGAGTATTAGAAGTCCAGATCCAAGAATAAATAAGGGAAGGGGGCAGAGAGAAAAAAGGATGGGGAAAAAGAGAGAGAGAGAGAGAGAGGCAGTGAGTAGATGTAGTACAAGAGGCTGATAAGAACAGTTGGCGTCTCCATGGTTTGGTTGGTTGCTTGAGTCATTAGGATGTGGAAGGTAGTGTGAGAGCCAGCTGATGTCCTTGTTCATTCCATTTGTATAAGAATTAAACTTATAAATGAAGTTCCAATCCTTCCCTGTATATTTGGCTTGTAGAATTGGCCTGAAACAGCACGTGTCCACACGTTTTACAGACGTCTTGAATTTTAAATAAAAGCTGTAAGTAATGTTCGATTAATTATTAATGCCTATATCCAAGAACAGATTCATACGGTCTTCCTCTGATTCTCAGTAATGTCTTTAAAAACTACCTTGAGAACTACATTTACTAGGCATTGAATGCAGATGGGCCCATGCTTCCGACGCATGTCTGCACAATTTTATTTTAGCAGAATGGTTAATGGAGTGCTGCAACTGCTGCTGTGCACATTCATCCAGCTTACTGGTAGTTTACTAAAATTTCACCTTCTTTTGCCTTTTCTTCTCTAGGTCAGAGGTTCTGATGCTTCAGCTTCCTTCAAGAGGCAGCGCAAAGCAGGAAGAAGTTGCAGCACTGCCGGAGAGAAGGCACAGGGTGTCTGGTGGGC